AGGTAATTAATATGAACAAATTTTAACCCAAAACTGATCAGGTCTGTGCATTGTCTTAAAACATCTATGTGCCAAGTTTAATTAAATGTGATGATTAGTAGTTCATCAGTGGAAATTGATTAATTATTATGCAGATTAGGTAATTAATATGCACAGATTTTTGACCATAAAACTAATCAGGTTTGTGCATTGTCCCAGAGAACATATGTGCCAAGTTTCATTAAAATTTAACCACCTTGAGATATCCATGGAAAAAAATTACTTATTTTGACAATAACAAAATGTCTATATTTCACCACACGTTTCTAATAGAGCAAATAATGTACATGTATATTCCAAACTTGCGTGCTTTTCATGAGTAACGCAAATTGCATGAAGATTGTCCGTAAAACTGCTGCTCTTTTTCCTTATTATTAATAGTAAATCCATAAATTTATGGATGTACAGAAGTTTGTTTCATGTATGGTGGGCAACTTGTATATAATATAGATTCTGAATTTTAGCTTTCAAAACTCAATATTTCCAAGGTTCACTGTCCATGATTTTGTGCAGCACTGACAATATGCACATTGTACAAAAGTGGTAACCAATTATTTACCTTGTCATCTTGCCATTTGCAGACCTGTTTTTTTTAAAGACTTACATAATTAATCAAATCAGGTCCCACATCCTGGGTATTTTTGATATTTTTGTTGTATAACAGGGATAATTTCCAATATTGTATTATCCTAAACCACACTTGTGATGTCACATAATTATCCCTACATGTAGCATGATATATTTCACAGAACCACCAGTGAATTGTGGGCAACTCTGACAAAATCACTAGTGAGTTGTGGGTAATTCTGACAGAATCACCAGTGAATTATGGGTAATTCTGACAGAATCACCAGTGAATTGTGGGCAACTCTGACAAAATCACCAGTGAGTTGTGGGTAATTCTGACAGAATCACCAGTGAATTATGGGTAATTCTGAAAGAATCACCAGTGAATTGTGGGTAATTCTGACAGAATCACCAGTTAATTGTGGGTAATTCTGACAGAATCACCAGTGAATTGTTGATAGATCTGACAGAATCACCAGTGAATTGTAGGTAATTCTGACAGAATCACCAGTGAATTGTAGGTAATTCTGACAGAACCACCAGTGAATTGTCGATAGATCTGACAGAATCACCAGTGAATTGTAGGTAATTCTGACAGAATCACCAGTGAATTGTAGGTAATTCTGACAGAACCACCAGTGAATTGTCGATAGATCTGACAGAATCACCAGTGAATTGTAGGTAATTCTGACAGAACCACCAGTGAATTGTGA